AAAGCAGACCCTGTCCTCGTTTGTTTTTGATATTTCATTCTTTGCACTTTCACTTTCTGGTCACGGTCATAACAAATGTGCTGCTTCTTTTAGATACACATTGAATGTACTGGAGGAACTGGGTGATGGCGAGAAAGTAAATGATGACATCATTGTAAGATGGGTGAACAAAACATTGGCAGAGGCTGGAAAATCTACCAAGATTTCAAGTTTTAAGGTAAATCCTCCTGGTTGGATTGTGGAAATAATTGCGGTCCTTTTTTTTGTTGTTGTTGTGGGGTTTGGTTGATTTGTTGTAATCTCTGTGTTTATGTTCAGGACAAGGAGATAAGCAGCAGTCTGGCAGTGCTGGAGCTGATTGATGCCATTCAACCTGGGAGCATCAACTTTGACCTGGTTAAAACCGGCAGACTCTCTGAAGACGACAAACTGGACAATGCCAAGTAAGAATTCAGCGAAAAATGTGAAACTGAATTAAGATGCGGTTTCATTAACTGACCCCGGATTTACAAAAGTTTTTGTTTTACATTTTCTGTCCTCCTGTTATGATGGCTTCATTTCTTTTAACGAAATGCCAGAAGGATTGGGGTTTCTCCAGCTGTATGGAGCTTTGAGTAAAGTTGCATCAGCCCCTCCCCAACTTGTTGCTGCTGTTGATCAATGAAGATTTTTTTTCTCTATAAAGAACACATCTACAAAAAAAGTGTTAACAGGGATATTTACTTGAAAATTAAAACTATATTTAGCAAGTGTTGTGTAACACTAATTCTGCAAAACAGAGTAGGTTTTTTTTCTGTAAAAATAAATAATCTTATGAAAATTATACTCTGTGCTTCCTCTGGTCATCTTAGCTTTGAGTGTAGCTAATAATTTCAAAGTGTGCAACATGATCTGAAACACCAATACTGACAAAAACAAATAAATGTTTGAGCAGCCAAACTTTTTGACAGCCTGAATTTAATCATGATTCCTTAAAAAGTTTTCCATTTAACTGGATCCTGTTCTATATTTTGTGGTAATGCCATCAATTATTACTACTTTTTAGTGGTAAAACCATGAAACTGGTATTTTGTTTAACTCAAGGTCGTCATACCAATGAATGTTTCACACCAGACCAGTGATGTTGCTAACATGTGAATAGCTTACCTCAGTAAACGCCCTTTTCCTCTGCAGATATGCCATTTCTATGGCGAGGAAGATCGGCGCTCGTGTCTACGCCCTGCCAGAGGACCTCGTGGAGGTCAAGCCAAAAATGGTGATGACGGTCTTTGCCTGCTTGATGGGACGAGGGATGAAGCGCGCCTAAGTGAGCTGCTCGGATCACAGGGACACTTAACACTTCCCCAAACAAAAAAAAACAAAAAAAACAATTAGCATTTTGAAAGAGCTTCCTCGACCGAAGAAATGAAGATTTGTTTTGGTTTTGTTTGTTGTTTTTTTTGTTTGTTTTTTTGCCTTAATGAATCAGAATCATACACTTGCATGCACCCTCTACCTCTTCTCATACACAGAGGTGTTTTCTGAAGGATCCTTTTTATTGAAGGTGAAGCTTCAGGATTGAAAATCTCCAGAGGCGACGCTTATCAACCTTCTACGCTCATTTATAAGAATGCTGTCCCCCCTATAAAAATATGCATAACATACCAGCTGCAAGGTTGTTTACATATTTCTATCCTGGCTGACAAGTCGATTATCTCCTCGACCAAGCAACAGACATTCCTGAGTGCTTTACCTTTGAATATATGCATCAGAAGGCCAAAAGTAAGTCAGAGAGGTTTAAAGTTTGGGTGGAGGACACTTTAAAAGAAGAAAACCGATGCTCAAACATGTTCTCTTTCTCAATGGCATGCGAGTGTTTCAGTAGAGGGGACTCCGGACGTCTACATATCAGAAAACGGAAGCCATGAGGTCAGTGTGTGGTGATGACCTGTGGGAGGAAATGCTATTTGTATTGCCTCGTAATCTTTTTTTTCTTTCTTTCTTTTTCTTGGGATTATCATGCAACATGCTGTAAATGCTGTCTTTAAGGATGTCTGATTTGTGTTGCTTTGGGTTTTTTTTTTTTTTTTTTGTATTTCTGTGTGTCCGTTCGATGGTGAGCAGGCTGACTTGACTCTCCTGGCTTCATGCTGTGCCTTCAACTATCAAAAGATGATTTGTATTTGTGCTCTGAGGGTTTCTCTTTGTTTTCTGCTCATATTAAACATTACCAAATACAGTTACTTCATTCCAAGTAGCTTGATGATGTGCTATGACGACGGCCAAATTGAAATTGGTCTTTTGTTCATGTCTATTCTCCCAAGTAAGTGCTTTACATGTAACAATAAACATGATTTTGAAAGTAGCTGCTGTGTGTGGTCTTTGCTGTTTGTTTTTTAAAATAACTTTTGTAAGAAGTTGTGGCAGAACTTTGAAGTGAAACTTAGTTTGTATCATACTCGGATTTTCTGCTGAACAAATGTATATAATTTTGCTTTTCTGAAATGGTAGCATTTGCAAACCTCCGATATGTCATAAAAGCAATACAAATAAATAGTCAGGGACTTTTTTTTTAATGCATTTTCAATGCATTTCACAAAAGTATTTGTAAGGCTTTTATTTCAAACTTGCCTCTACTTAAATGTGACACGCCTTGTGCTGAGCTGAAAAACAAATCTGTTGGAAATTATGTAAATGTGGACACAGTCGAGTATCCCCCCCCCATCACATTTCCTTTTCTTCATTTCAGATCTCTCTGCATTGCCACACTTATCCAAATCCATCAGATTATGAGGACATCTCTTGTCCAAAACGCTCCATGCATGACTGAACTGATTTAATGTCAGATTTACTTCATAAAGTTTTTGTTTCTGTTCATAAAGTCATTCTTTTGCTAATTTTGCTTGTACTCAGTGATGCTGGCGATTAAAATCCACCTTCATCTGGAGCTTTCTAAAAGGACACCTGTTTTGATTGAACTGTTCGTGCTTATCTACAGCAAAGTAACCCCAGAGCATGATGCTGCCACTGCCATGCTTCACTGCAGGTAAGGCGTTATTTTTGGTGACATGTGGTGGTTTCTCTGTGCTGGATTTTTCTTTTGGAAAACTGTGAGTTATCGTCAATCCACGCTTGATGGTCTGATACGAAAAGCTTTGGTGGCTCTTCAGACTGTCATGGAATGAACAGACACATTTCAGATCAACTTTTATGATTCAACGGTTTACCTCATTTTCCTTTTACTACTTCTCCTTCCTCTTATCTCAGTTTCTGTTGCCGTCCTTCCCTCTTTTTCCTCATAAAACCTGTCATCTGTCTGACAAAGCAAACTGTGAGCAAGAGTGATTGTGTGTTTGATCTGTTGTCTTTTCCCAGTGCAGCGGGGAGTAGACGAGGCAGACTGCAGGTCGCTGTTCACTGACTCGGATCTCGGATTCCTGCGAATTCCTCTGGGCTTCGCTCCTTGTAAAGTCTTTCAAGGCTCTGATTACGGCTCCGGCACCTGCCTTCGTGCTGCTTGATGAGGAGGCTGTCTGGTGTGGCCTTCATCGTCCGTGCTTTATCGTTTCAGCTGTTTTCAGATGGGAACATTTGGAGCTAAAGTTTCAATTTGTCTGCTGAAGAAGAACTTTGTACATTGTTGCCTAGGAAACGTTTTCAGTAAATGTTTCCCACAGAGGCCGACGTTCAGGTGTAACAGAATATATGGGTTCACACAAAAATTTAAGTGTTAAGTATATAAAAAAAATGAGATTAATAATATATTGTACATGATTATAGCATAAAGATATAACTATCATATATTTTATCAAATGTTCAGAACAGTATGTGTAGCAAATGTTTATGTTTTGAAAACATAATTTACAGTACAGAGATTTCCCAGAAGAGCAGAAATGTTTTAAAAAAAATTAAATAAAAACTTAACAGCTCGATGATTGGTTCAGAATCACTTTATTTTAATTAATTGAAGATTTCCCCAAATAAGAAGCTTTCTACTGGATAGACTTCAGGTTCATGCTTAACACAAAAAATCTCTTTTGGTTTAATTTCCCTTTGTCTTATTGGAACGGCATGTATAAAATTGGTCATATTTCTACACCACACTATTTATTCTTGATCCTGTTCATAAACATGTATTAATAGTTTTTTTTTTTTTAAATCCCTGATGAGATTCAGAATTTCCACTTTAAATCAGTAAACCTGCCTCAGAGTTGGCCCACACCATGATACCGCCATCACCAGTTTAAATCGCATCATATTTTTTTACTTTATTTTTTTTAAATAGTATATTTTTATTTTTATATTTTATTTTTTCAAATATAATCCTTACATGCAGGACTCAGAGAAATACATCTCAACAGTACTCTGTAAAAACTATTTTATTTTTTAGGATTTATTAGATATTTAATTCACTTTTCACATCCAGGCACTTCGCCCATTGTTTTTGGTAAAATAGATCCAGTTAAGGCAGAACATGTTAATGGATAATATTTTTCAAGTCTTCCTACGGATTCTTAGCTTCACTTAATTCTGAACTTGAACTAGGCCATTTCAACTCATCACTTTACTCTGATCTGAACCATTCCATTGTAGGGCCGGTCAGCTCCATCCATCCTCCTTTATCTACTCCTGACCAGCTTCTCTGCTGCCGCTGAAGAAAAGCATCCCTACAGCATGATGCTGCCACCACCATGTTTTACAATTTAGATGGTTTGTTAGGTCAGAAAATTGTCGTTTTAGTCTATCCATGCACTTAGACACCTTGAGCAAACAATTCTGTAAGGAAAAGGAGAAAAAGGAATATATATTTTTTGCAGAAAATACATTTGCATTTCTTAGATTTGTGTGTGTGTGTGTGTGTATTTGTTTTTCTACTAACATGACAAGAATAGATCCAGATTTATAGAAAATGTATATTTCCCCAAAGATTTCTCACATCCAGAGCTGACGTCTGGGCTCTGAAAGCCCCACCCCGCCTTTACCTCCTAACCTACCTGTCTACTCTCATCGGAGGACGAGCGCAGCCACGTGTTCACACCTCTGACTGGAACACCTTTCAAAGCCTCACAGAAAACCATTTCAAAATAACTGTGTTTTAGGAGCGTTTTCATTCGCTCGCAGCTTTGAGGATGGATCTGTCGGAGGCGCTTTGCTCCGGATGACGGAGTCTTCAGGTAACTAAAGGAAACCTAAGGTAAGAGTCACTGTTTGTGCAACTGCTTTGCAGTGAATGAAGACGGTGAAGTTCTGCCGCAGCTCTGTCAGCAGGAATAAAAGTAACGTTTATATGAATCAGAATTTATCTCCAGCTTCACAAAATGTAGACATTCGAGCCATTTCAACAATTAGTTCTTTGAAAGCTGAGCTTGGCTGCGTGATAACTTCTGGTGGTTCAACCCGGATGCCCCTGTGATGTAATGATGAGCCGCAGTTTGCGCGCGCACTCAGCACGCTGGTTTCCTGAGTGATGAAGGTCCGGAGGGAGAGCTGCTGATAGGCCCGCTCAGCTGGAGAGGTTCAGTCTGACCGAAGCCGTGTTTTCGTTAATGATCTACCAATTAGCCACACAGCGGTAACAGTTGTCTAAACAGCTCCTCGTCTGTCTGTCTGTGCCGCAGGGTGGAAATGCGTTACGGGCCACACATGTTACTGGTAGAGGGGATAAAGTGCTTCCACTTGGTGGAGAGGTGTTGGAAAGTTTCACCTAAACTCTCCAAAAGGTTCGGTTCACGACTTTTAGTCTTAGATGTTTTCTTATAGATCAAACTGTCAGTTCTTTGAAGCCAGCAGACAGACTACTGGTACATTTTAAATACGTTTGTTTGATTAGGCAAATGTTGTTAGCAACAAGTTGCACAGTAAAAAAAAAAAAAACTGCTTTAAGTAACATTTAAATATGATTCATGAAATAAATATCAGAAATCCACGAGATATATTCAATTAAAATTGTTTGAAATTGAATAAGTTATATTATAATACATTTAAATACTAAATAAACAAAAAAATTGTATGAATTTAATAGAATAAATAATTAAAATGTACATCTTTAGAGAAAATATGAAATAGTTAAATACATATTTAAAATTTATTTATATTAATATCAAGTAAAAGAGGTAATGATAAGTAAATATAAGTACTCGCTGTAGTTTTTGTGGTATTAATAAAAAATCTATTAAAATATAGAACAATTAAGGTCTGCTTTTTTCATGCAGTTCTACAGAAGGTAATAAAATGCTCTTTGGAAAAAAAAAAAAACAGAAAACTTGTCTGTCCTGGTTTAAAGGAGCTAATGGTTTTTCCACAAGTCTTTTTTTTCAGGAAGCATAAAATAAGAAAAGAATGCAAAACAACAAGAAAAAAAAATCTTAGGCAGCACATTTTTCCCATCAGACCAACATAGAGTCGAGTTATAAATTGCTCAGATCCTGTTTTGTATATGCGTCCCTCACCGCGGCAACTGAGCCGTCACCTGACAGATGCTGGTTGGGGACTGCAGACGGTCTCCGTTGGCCAACATCCCCTGACTATAAACTGACATTATGCACCATAAACACTTTCCTCTGCTGCAGCAGCTCTGCAGAGAAACAGGGAACACTCCTAATGACAGCATGGGTTGAATGGCAACAAGTGAGGCTTCAACACTGCTGTTTGTCCTCCGTGACAGAACCTGAGGATGACAGGCCAGGTGCCAGAGAGAGACCGGTCGCCCCACAACCTGTCAGTGAAGACAACCTTGGAGGAAGAGATCGAGAGGGCTGAAAGTAAACTTAGTAGGTAAGAAAAAGTCAGTTTTATAAAAGCAGCGCATGAAAGGAATAATAATGAGAGTTTGTCTTTTCTGTTTTGTTGTTTTTGTACCAGGGTGCCATCGGTCTGCGATGACACGTCATCAGAGCTGCAACGAGTTGCCGCTCTCGACCCCGACGGTCGCAGTTCGGAGAATTCTTTTCAGAGGAATGGGGCCATTTCAAGGTGACACTGTAGCGTCGCGGCAATTACATTTTAGCATTTTTGCCAGAGTTTCTGAATTGTTAGATGTGAACATCAGCAGCATTGTTTGGCACTTACATTGATGTGCCTGACAAATGAGTCAAATCATTGTAATACGGCCACAATTTATCAAACCTTTCTCTATCAGAGATTGTTGTTTCACTCTGCAAATCCATGTAATTTCTGTGCTTCTCTGGGATAAGGTTTCACATGAACGGCAATTTCTGTGTCATTTTCATGATTTCCGTGAAGCTTAAAGGGGATTTTTTGCTTTGCACGTGTCTTAGACTGGTGAAACTGGTGGTGAGGCTGAGGGAATGGGCACACAGGAGCCTGGTGGAGGAGGAGGAGCGACCAGACTCCTTCCTGGAACGCTTTCGCGGCCCTGAGCTGAGAACAGCCCCTAGTCGCAACAGCATCACCCAACCAGATGCCAATGGCAACAATGCCAAAGGGATCTTGAGGTATTCCTGACTGGGTTAGGGTTGAAATTTCTAATTAGGTCAGAAGACACCCTGTTCTATCTATTGTGTTGTCTTAAGATTTTAACTCGATGATACTGCTTTGTAAAATGGTGTTCTGTTAGTCAATGCTACATTTTAAAACAAAATAACTTTTCCGAGATAAATTTCCATGGGGATTTAACTAATGTATCATTTGTCTGCTCCTCATACTTCCAGGAAGAGGTGGGAATTGTTAGTTGTCTCACCATCTGATGACGCCTACTACCGTTGGCTGTTTGTCATTGCTATTGCAGTCCTCTACAATTGGCTCCTTGTGATTGCAAGGTATTATAATTCCCACAGTCGGCTACCTCCAGCCCTGCAGTTGGATAATAAATGCAGTGATCTGTACAGTCCAGCCCTTTGATTGGAGCACTAAATTATTTGGACCTTTTTATGTTCCCAGGGCATGCTTTGACAAACTGCAGGTGAGCATTTACATCTGCTGGCTGGTGCTGGACTACATCTCCGATACTGTCTACATACTGGACAGTTTTGTGCGTCTACGGACAGGTAATCCATTAAAAACACTCCCTTCTTCTTTTACATATTTGTTAAAGCTGTCTAACTAAATTTCCTCTCTGTCTACGTTGTTTAAGGTTTTCTGGAACAAGGCCTCCTGGTGAAGGACCACGCCAAGCTAAGAGACAGTTACATCCGAACATTACAGTTCAAGCTTGACGTGGTGTCCATCCTGCCCACTGATCTGGTGTACATTTACACTGGCATCCACACTCCTCAGCTCCGATTCAATCGCCTGCTGCGCTTCCCTCGTATGTTTGAATTCTTTGACCGGACAGAAACACGCACCAACTACCCCAACATCTTCCGGATCTGCAACTTGGTGCTCTACATCCTGGTCATCATTCACTGGAATGCCTGCATCTACTACGCTATATCCAAGTCTTTGGGGTTTGGTTCAGACACATGGGTCTTTCCAAACATCTCCAAACCGGAGTACTCGTCCTTAACAAGAAGCTATGTCTACTGTTTGTACTGGTCAACCCTCACTCTTACCACCATTGGAGAAATGCCTGCACCTGTGCGAGATGAGGAGTACTTGTTTGTGGTCTTTGACTTCCTTGTTGGAGTGCTGATCTTTGCAACAATTGTGGGAAATATAGGCTCCATGATAGCCAATATGAACGCCACCAGGGCCGAGTTTCAGGCTCGAATTGACGCTATCAAACACTACATGCACTTCCGCAAGGTCAGCAGAGAGCTGGAGACGCGCGTCATCAAGTGGTTCGACTACCTGTGGACCAACCAAAAAGCCGTAGACGAGCAGGAGGTGCTGAAGAACCTGCCCAACAAACTGCGCGCCGAGATTGCCATCAACGTACACCTCGAGACACTCAAGAAAGTACGCATTTTTCAAGACTGTGAGGCCGGACTGCTAGTGGAGCTTGTGCTCAAACTACGTCCGCAGGTTTTTAGTCCAGGAGACTACATCTGCAGGAAAGGAGACATTGGTAAGGAGATGTATATCATTAAAGAGGGGAAGCTGGCAGTCGTAGCTGACGATGGGGTCACGCAGTATGCTCTCCTCACTGCTGGAAGCTGCTTTGGGGAGATCAGCATTTTGAACATAAGGGGTAGTAAAATGGGGAATCGCCGCACAGCCAACATCCGAAGCTTGGGATACTCTGACCTCTTCTGCCTCTCCAAGGACGACCTAATGGAGGCAGTGACAGAGTATCCAGACGCTAAAACAGTGCTAGAGGACAGGGGTAGGGAGATCCTTAAGAAGGAAGGGCTTCTTGACGAGAATGCGGAGAAGGGCGGGCTACAGAAGGAGGACGCAGAGGAGAAGGTGGAGAGACTGGAGTCCTCTCTGGACACCCTACAGACTCGTTTTGCCCGTCTGCTGACTGAGTACACAGACACTCAGCAGCGGCTAAAGCAGCGAATCACTCTGCTGGAGCGGCACCTGAACCAAACTGACTGCGGCGCAGAGGCAAACAATGACATAGATGCCAGTACACAAATGGCAAGTGGAAGTGGCCCCGGTGGTTTTGGCGGTACAAATGGGTCACCACATCAAAACGATGTTCAGACTCGGAACAGAAACGGGAAAACATTACAACACTGATACTTTCAACATCAGACTTCAGCCATTCATTCATCCACTCACTGGATGAATCATGGAGGATGGAGCCTGTCTCCAGGGGTCAATGGCCTGAAGGCGGAGTACGTCCTGGACAGATCACCAGTCCATCACAGGCAGCACAAAGACACATTGGGCAAATAGCCGTGCATGTGCACACAGCAGGGTAATTTAAAGTGGGCAATTAAGCTAAAATGCATGTTTCTGCTCTGCTGGAGGCAGACGGAACATCTTCACACGCCATTGCCCTTTTACTGTTTTCTTGCAATTTAGAATTTAAAGAAATACCTGCATTTCAATCAACATGAAAACAAAATACACAACACCAGAACCAAGCTAACTTTGAGTTATTGTACAAACGAACGGCCAAGAGCTGAATGCATGTGCAAAGGTTGACTTCAAGTTTCAAACCAGCTCAAGCTGAATAAATGTTACAGAGTACATAAACAACAAGTACAAGATACTCTGGGATTTCTTTATATCTTCCTTGATCACCTGTGAGTGTCATGTTTGTTTTCATCAACAGAGACATTCAGTTCCCTCTACATGTCATCTGTTACGCTTTGTTACTCTTCAAATGAACTCCTTCTGCTACTCCAGGGAACCAAAGGCCTAAGGAGATATTGTGCATGGTGATTAGTTGTCACAAACAAACAGTTTCCTCTTTCTAAGGTACTAACATTCAGCTTTTTCACATTTACAATTACAATCACAAAATGCCCTTTTAAAGGAAATTTACACCGCAGACCAACACAAAGGGAATGATTGTGGAACAGAAGGAAATTCTTTACAATGAAGATCTTTGGAAAAGTGAACTTTTATTCATCCCCCCCCCCTTGCTCCGATACCCCAAAATAAGGACTAGTGACTTTAGAAATTACCCAAATAGTAAATAAAATCCACAAGTATAAACTTACCCTTTCAACTGTGAAACAGGGTGGGGAAAGGGTCATGCTGTGGAGATGCTAATCTTTAACAGGGATTAGGAGATCGGTCAGAGTTGGGGCACTGGATTTAAATATTTGTAATAAAAAATTTTAATTTCTTGCAAATGTACAAAATTACTCTATTGCATAAAATCCCAATAAAATACATTGACGTTTGGGATTGTAACATATAAAAAAGGTTTATTAATACCTTTGCGATGCACTGTAAATCTGTATCAATGTTGTTGACTGTTTCTTAAATGTTGCATTTACAAAGTTTGTGCCATGAAAATGTTTTGCTGAAAAAACAGACTTCCTTTTTTTAAAAAAATAAATAAATAAATAAAAAGAAATGATTAATCTTCGGACACTTGATATTGATTATTTGCAAAAGCTTTGTGTTCTACCTTCTAACCCAACAAAAATGAGTGAGGTCCTGTATACTGACTTCCATCCATTTATTTGAGGAAAGTTGCACTTTGAAGTAAAAGGCCGGGGATTTTCCAGTTTTCAGCCTTTGCATTCCTGGACACACATGAGCAGTGTTGATAAGAGGAGCTGGAACAATGCCTCACAGCAGCAGAGCTGAAGAGAGCTGGTAACAATAAAGAGGCAGGAGCTGCCGAATCCATATCCTGCCAGAAAGGCACTGATGATATCAAGCATCTTGAATCAATCTTCACTCAGCTACAGAATGGTAAAAGAAGGGTTTCTAAACTCTTAAATATATGCATCATGGGACATTTCAATAGACATTTAAGATGAAGAACTATGATAATGATCATAATGTAGAGCAAATGTGCAAAGGATTTTTTTGTTCATTACTTGTTTTCCTTGTGTGTATCTCCGCATGTTGTTTTATGAATAAACTTTAAACGGTTCTCGTTTTGCATTAAGGTTGTCAAGTTGCCGAACTTCTTTGAAGGGTTCGACGTGACGTTTCAGAGGAAAGTAAATAGTGTTTTTTATTCAGCTCCACAGGAACCAAGGAGGGGTAAGGGTGAAATAAAAATAAACAATCCATTCTTTCTGTTTAGTAAAGTTAACGCCTGCATGTTTTTGTGAATTACCATAGTTCTGGATTTTTCTAGCTTAAAGTATGACTTGTTTTAATTACATTTATTTTGTTGATGGAAGGCTGTGGTTTTGGTTTTACAGCACAGTCTGCCTCTTGCACATATTTTAATAAATAATTGGTCCCAATTTACTACCATTTCATATAAGCTATTTCTACATTAAATCCTCAAATTTCACTTTAACTGAGGTGGTTCGGCGAGGGCGCCAAACAGGCTAGGACCGTGTCTGGTGAGGAGAACTGCAAGTATCCTTTCATCAATCTGTCTTAAAGTTGCAGCAGCAACAACTGCAGTAATTAAAAAGTTACACAATTAAATTTTTAAACAGTTTCTTTCTGAAGAATGCAACATTTTATGCAGTTAGGACCAAACTCTGGCAGATTAAATTTTAAAATTATTTTGACTCAACCAAGAGGCGTTTAAGTGCAAAACTTTAATAATGCTTTAAGTCAGAAGAAAAATTTTAGAGAAAAAATGTTACTTTAAATTTTCATCTGGCAGGAGGATGAATGATTTCGAACTGTAAAACTATGAAAGTGTAAAATATCAATCCGGAGTCAAACTTACCAGTTACACCGAACCAAAATAATTAAAAACTAAATATGTTTGGGAAAGTTGTTTTTGTTGTTGTTTTTGCTTTATAAGATAAAGAGAAAATGTTTTACTTAACCAGCCTAGCATGACAGGTTTAAAGATGAGATTTAATTATGTTTTCAAATCATATTTGGAATAAAAACGTATACATTTGTCCCCAATAAGAAACTGGTGGCTTTGCAACAGTAGAGGAAAAAAAAAAAAAAAAAAGTTTGTACTTATGTTTTGTAGCTAATCAAACCATCTCACACACATTTTGTGATTGTGTTGTTGGTGTGAAATTAGCTTAGTGAAAAGTACCATTAAGGAATTTCATGCCGCTGATTTTATTCCCTTTCAAGATCTAAATCCTGCTTTCCTGGTTCACCGTGTTTTCCTCAACTCATACGTTGTTTCTGAATTAAAGACGAATGTGGCCGAACGACCCAACTTTTGGGCTGTGAGATGAGAGCACATAATTTCATATTCATCTTTAAAACGGGACGGGTCTAAGCGTTTGGTGTGAATGCTGCAATACTTCCACAAACCACTAGGTGGCGATTTAGTTTTAAATGCTTTGACATCTTGGGCCAATTCACAGAAAAAATAACTACGAAAGTCTTGTAAAGCTTCATCTGCACAACGGTTTTTTTACACCAATATTTCTTGAGTATAATTAAAAGGAGGTGAAGTACCAGCAGCGGGATTTATACCAGTTTAAGAACATTGTGTTTGGTACATCCATACAAACCACACTGATGTAGCATAAAAGGGAAGAAGCAAACAACCATATTCCTTTCAGTCATTTAAGCCTCCAGGAAGATCTTTTTTAATAAACATAGATCTTCTGATTAGATTGTAGCAACTCTTACTAAGCTTATCATGAAAGCCTCATTGATCATCCAGATTGTTCTAGTTAACTGTGATTTCTTCGTTATTTAATACACACACACACACGTGCTGAAAACACTTAGCCATCTCCTTACAGTCCTCTCCAGCGTGGGTATCAGTTTCCTTTTGAGAGAGCAGAACAGCTGCTCAGCTAAACCTGTATCAAGCAATGTCTAACCACAGGCTAATTAAACCATATAAAGCCAAGGAAGTGTGGATAACTGTTTGGCCAAATTTTACCTTTATATTTTTTTTAATGCAGCCAAGAAATATTTTCAAAACAAAGAAACAGCTTATCTAGTGTTTTCCAGGTAATCCACAGCAAAACATTTGAGTAAATGTACGTAATTAGCGTTCTGTGCCTTTAAATGGCTGCTCCAACACTTCTGTCAACCCACTTGGCAGGTGTAGCATATCACATGTACCAGACAACTAGTCCAGGGTTCTTAGTGGACTCCATACTAAACACACATATTGCAGTTTACAAAAAAAATCTGAATAAATACAAAAAACACATACACAAAATTAGGCTTCTAAATATAACTATATTTTTTGTGACCATTTAAAAACCGCAGTTGAAAAATCAAACAGTGTCACTGGGACACACTGCACTGACTATATAAATCCGATGGATACAACAAAGTGAGAAAAGAAAGGCCTTCATGGTAAACACACGTTTTTAACTGCTTCATGTGTCAACTAAGCATAAATATTTCATCAGAGCGTACCTCTGTTCAGGATACGTCTGATTCCTGTAGAAATTAGACAAAAACTAAGATTCTCCCAGAATGACTGTTGATTGAATGTAAAGATAGAGCAGAAATGATGTCGGGCTGTTTATATCTATCAGAGCTTTCGAGGCTGCAACATGCTATCTGTGCATTGATTGGCTGAGAGTATCCGCTGGGAATCAAGCGTGGGCTAACGCATCCGCATGTGCAGGCTGTGCTTGGGTCCGTCCACCCGCTCCAACTTCTCAAAGTGTTTCCTCGCGTTTCGGATGTTGATGAGCGTTGCTGCAGACGCTGAAAAAAAAAAAAAAAAAAAAAAAAAAAAAAGGATAGTGAATATTGCAAAAAGTGTTCACATCTTATATTGTAACCCACCAACACTGATGTACTTACGAATAGAGGGGTCTGACATGATCACCATGACGTAAGTGTTGGAGGTGAAGACGTCGATAAAGGCCGCAAAGTTGGAGTTTCTAACTTCCATGCTTTGGAACGAAGCTGCGAGTTTACTGAAATAAGACAGACGAAGCGACTAAATACGAGAAAAATTGACAGAAAATCGTTCAGCGGATCATGCGCGACGTGAACTTACCTACAGCTGAGCTTGAACTGTTTGATGATGTTACTGATCTTCTCAAACCTGTGAGCGTCACGTTGCTCTTTGCACTGATAGTGGGAGATTACCTACATGGGCAAACGTACATCGACATGCTTTACATTCCCAGATCCAAATCTAGGCTGCTGAAAACACACATCTTACCAAGCATTTTAAGTCTCGTTTTCAGTGCAAATATCTTTGTAAACTTTATTTAAGATAAAACTAATTTAAAAATAACTTATCAGCAAGAGACAGGAGCTTGTTTGAAGTAAATAATTCCTTAATATTGGTGAAAAAGTACTTGTTTCATTGGCAGATAATTTCGCTTATTATAACATGGGGAAATTGTCTTGTTATAAGTAAATGTATCTGCCAATGGAACAGGTGCTTTTTAAGCAATATTAAGTAATCATTTACTTAAAACAAGCTCCTACATCTTGGTGAAAAGATACTTGCAAGTTAGTCTTCACTTATTTGAAGTGTAATAAGATATTTGCACTACAAACAAGACTAAAAATGCTTGGTAAGGTTTTGTGTTTTTGCAGTGAGACAGAAGCGAAAGGTCGCTCTCACCAGGAAAGTGGCTCTCTCAAACAGAAGAACCTCATCTGCTTCTATGATCTGTGCAAAATTTCTCAGGTTCGTCTCCAGCTGCTGGAC